CGCTGCCCCCGCCCGCGCTGCACGCGCGCCTGCAGCACACGCGCAGCGGACCGCCCCAGCACTGCACCGGCGCGCACGCGCACGGACACGCCGCGGCCGCCGCCGCCGCCGCCTGCTGGGACGACTTCCTGCTCGAGGTGAGCGCCTCACCCTACGTACTCGCATGCTACATACGTACAATAGCGAAAGTTGTAGTGTGCTGCGGCGAAAAATTATGCGTTTTCCACAAACAAATTTGTAATGGGGATCCCTGATACCGAAAAAAGAGAATAATGTTTGTACCTATTTGTAGTAAATTACTTCCTCTAACACGTGTGTTCAGAACCCACGTTTTGGGGCACCTTTATTAAAAATTGGTTTACAGCAAAATTTCTGTCTGTCCGTCCGTCCGTCTGTCTCCCGGTGAACAGCGCTAGCGGCTAAAATCTAAGGGGATTTCCACCAAATTGATATTCCCCGATCGATCTGGCTGATGTCGCCGCCCTTTGAGTAAGAAACTGGTATTTCAATTTTGGGAGACTACACCTGAAGGTTATTTTCAATGTTTTTGTCAAAAACTGCTCTAGATGTTTGGATTTTTTATCGGGTTGAGAGGAAAAGGGTGCAGATCCGATTTTTGTCCAAGTCTCTGAATTTTAGAAAATGGGAAGAGTTTAAACCATTTTCGGAGACTTTCTACAGCTACAATATTGAAGATATTTCTTCTAAAAGAAATGTCTTCTTTAAATGATGGCATGTACATTGAGTTCGTAATATGACTGGTTTTCACTTACTTTTTATTGTAATAATAGCAATTTTGGAAGCATATTTTCTCAAAAATATTGCCAGTTTTTTCTTTGGCCGACGGAGATAACATAATGTATTGATAATATGCCAGAAATGTCATTTTGATGTAGACTTTTGACTTTTCAAAAATTGCACAAATGTATTTTTTAACCATATGTCGCGTCGTTAAAATTTACATTGCGGGCATTTTATGCATTTTTGCATTTGTGAGCAAAACTGCTTCAAATTATTTTCAAAGATATTTCTTGATCACTCAAAATTTTTCGGTGAAAGTGAATTAAAATTTGCACAGTTTTAGAAGTGCTCAAACTACGTTTCCTTAACAGTTGCCCCTTCGATTGTCATAAAGGACCATGTTCCACTCTTCTCTAATATTCGTATTTAAATTATTCTATTAGGAATCCTAAAAAGTGAGAAATGGTGAAAAATATATTCCCACAATCGATAGGTAACAATTGGCAAGAGAGGGGGCAATACCGTAACCCTAGGCTAGACTAAAGAGGTTAGGAACCAGTGTGAGAAATTAAGTGCCATTCTGTCGCATCACTAGTTTTTTTATATCTTTATTTAGATAAGCACTTACTGTTTCATCGTTTAGGACTTTTATTATTAGAACTTTTCTCAATGATAAGTGATAGTTTCTTATTTAAACACTTATCGGATGTTTACAAAATAATTCGAAAATATCGCCATGCGCAATGCTTCATGGAAGCACCGGGTTATCTTACAGCTAAGGCTGCTTATATACTGGTTGAAATATTTATTTTGGATCGAAAATATATTTAAAACCATTTTTTTTAGGGAGGATGATTCCTAAGGCCAGAGATATTCAAAGGAAAGAGAAAAAATAAATTCGCGTTTACTGAGAGTCCGAGATTTACCCCGTAGCTGAAACAAAATATTTTATTTTACGTCTGAACTCAAAATTAAAAGCACCGGAAATTCTAGAAAATGAACAGTTTTAATGCAAAAAGTGCTTACTTGTGAAGTTTCATGAATTTTCTTTACACATAACGTTCGTATATTTTCAGCACATTTTTTTTTTTAATTTCTCGTTACCTTTTTACATAGTACAGAGAAAGTATTGTAATGCTGCAACGAAAAGTGACGTTTTTTAGACAGAAAAACGTGTTTATTTATTATCATTTGCTTTTCGCTTTGTGGTCTCCGTGCTCCTCCATCCCCAGTTTGTGGACCTTTCTGGCGCGCTACTCATTCTGTAATGGAAATTTCGTGTGTCGTGGCTCTCGCCCGTCCTCCGCGCAATGCGCTAGTCAAATACTCCGCGTCCCTTTGCTCATACTGCCGTGAGGGATGTCCGCGAACTCCGTCTGTTCGGGTGCTGCGGGCTCAACCCAGAGCGTAGACTATTGTTCCCTTGGTAACTGCATAACAGAATGTCCAAGCTGTTTGCACGAATGAACTTCATTTGAACTATCGCATTGATAAGGAGTGGAAGAGAAAGTTGATGCCATTGGAATACATAACGAATATGCAATATTCAGAAATATTAATAAGTTGATATCATAATTAAGTACTCGATTTTATAGTTTCACATGAGCTTATGGACAAGACAATTATAAATCTACAGTTAATACCCAGAAACAAAATTTACTTATATTAAAACAAATTTTTCAATAAAATTCTCGTAGGAGTAAATAAATTGTATATTTTGAATTATTGTTTATTAATGATCTGTTTATGTATTCCTTGTTCAACTAGTAACCAAATAATTTATAGTTACATATTTATGAATACGCATTTGAACTCAGTAAATATAAATAATTTCATGTTAATGCGTATCAATTTGCATAAATTGCTACAGTGATGAAACAATTATCTAGACGAGAGAGAATTACGTGGTAGACGATGCAAATTAATTTTACTTTTTTTGGACATATCTTTGGCAGGAATATTTCCTCTACGTAACGTAACGAGCATATTAACCTTGAACCAGTAAGACCTAAGTATGCCGCCATTAACACTGAACTTTCATAATAGGCTCTAAAGATGTAGCACGCATTATAATTTGAATGTTGACTCATTATCGTTTTATGGCCCATCTGGGGAAGCCCTGTATTTTCCGTCTGCGCGGCTAGAACGCTCCCCTCCAGCTGCGCCGTGCTCGCCGCGCCGCGCCGGCGGGCTAAGCAAAGCGCATGCGGTTTATTGGGTTTCTTTCCCGCGAGACAATACAACGAAGCCCTATGGATAATAGAACTCCCTTCGCAATGAAAAGGTATTCGCAAATACGAGATAATAAGAGTACGTTGCGCCGAGATAATTAAAAATCGATGAAAACTGTTTCTTTGATTTTGTACCTCTGAAGCAATTGTGGTTTTTTTGTTTTTAGCATGTTAGCCATTTAGTGGATTCAACACTAAAGAAAATGGTCTATTTTGCCCCTGGCGCATTTGTTAGACTTTTTTCATGGTGAGGAAAAGTTCGAGAAGACCTAAAATTGTACGAGATAATTTTTGTCGGCTTCGTGCTTTTCAAAATTAATTAATCGATTAATATACACATTGAATTACATTCGTTACTATTGAAAATGAGTAAAAACTATATTTGTCTCAATTGAAAGCTCTATAAATAATCATAAATCAACAAATACAATGTATTTTAACCGGAGTACAAATGAAAAACTGTTTACAGGAAAACACCAAGGCGGCTGCATAGAACTACAGCCCCCCACCGCTCCCAAATAAAAATCCTGATTGCGCTACTTATTACCAAATATTACGAGCTAGCTAAATGTGTCGTCGCTGACACTCTAACCTGATATTAAAAATATTTTCATGTATTGAAAATGTCTACTACGCAAGTTCTAAATAAAAAGAAAAATACAGAAGTGTGCGCTACTCGAAGATACTCGCCATATTCATTCTCGGACGTTGTGCATAAGAAAATAATCTATTAAGAATAAAAATTAAATAATTAAAAGTACAGTACATGTATGGTTGCAACACATTTATTGGGTTGTATTTTCGGGCTACGGCTACCACCCATCCCAGAATACGGTGTTGGCAAACCTAATCCGAAAGCTCCAAGAAAAGTTCTGAAGAATACATTCTTTCAGTGTATGACGAGGAGACTTATTTTAAAAAAATGTACATTCGCGAATGCTTATAGAATTACATGATTATCTCATTAGCACTATCGTATATGCTATTTGTAACAGATTTATTCCACGGAGCGATAGTTATCCTATGGGGTGACAACACTGACGATGAGCCTTTCTTCTCCAAGTGATACAAGCACTGCTCCGCACACTGTAAACATCAGCGTCCGGGCGATACAATATGTAGCGGACTGTCATACATCGCCTCGGTGCCATGGCGCCGGGACACATGGTTCGCGGGGCGACCGCTAGACCGTGGCATTTAAAAACGTATAAACATGTTTTTGGAGAAATTTCGGAGAATTTTCTGAATGGATCCAAAAACAAATCATCAGGTCCTCACCAGGAGATGTAATCGCGACGAATAACACCTCATTTGACTCGATTGGGGAAGGGAAGGCAAGATGATGGTGAAATGGGGAATAAAGGGTTAGCGAGTGATGGACGGACGCACGGACAGATGGAAGTACTCGAATACTATATCGTTTGTGGGCTCCAATAGTGGCACAACTTAGAATAGGCGTTGAGATAAATGAGTTTCAAATTTTCACATTTAATTGAAATGCATCATTTGGCATTCACACTTCTCCTTTTGTTGGTGGAGTACTGTACAGTAAGATACGCTGCCGGAAGGTAGACCGACCAATTTGCAATTCTGAAGAGTGCATTCACTCAAAATTTGTCTTTTTTGAGTTCTGCCACAATTGCATCCCACGAGCGGTATACAGATTTATTTTTTAAAGTATTGGCGGGGGGGGGCCTCCTTAACGGGGACCGTAGGCACGTGTTGAGTGCGCTTGTGCGTGCAGGAGCGTGCGTGCCGCGCGCTGCAGCAAATGGCGGGCGCGTCGCCCGTGAGCTCGCGCTCGTCGCGCTCGGCCGTGGCAGCGCACAGCCTGGTGGGCGGGGGCAAGTGCGCGGCTCGTACGGGCGGCGGCTTGCCCGCGGCGGACTCGTGTCGTCGTGGGCG